CAACGCAAAAAAAAAAAATCTTGAAAACCCTAGACATTCTTTGTACATAGTGATTGCCACCGCCGGATAGCTGGTAACCCACAAAGTCATTGTGTTTCTCTGCGGCATACTGGAGTAAATAAATGGCGGGAAGATGCGCGAAGAAGATGCGCAGTTCTCTTCGGTAGTCCTCAGGAGTCAGTGAGTGATCCCCACAGATGCGCTCGAAATTCCGAATTGACGGTGGCAATTCGGACGTTATGATATTTTGCGGTTCCAGCGGCGGTAGAGAACAAATACCTAAAATATGAACTATGAACTACAATATTTATATCATAAGTTGCAATCCTTGTGGTTTCTACGGTTAAAAGTGTAACGTTTTCCGCACAATTACTTGAATTATTTGCATTTATTTCTTTTAGTGAATTTAGCATTTACAATCTTCATTTTTAACTTTGATAACTTTTTCATTTCCTATATATATCCTGTTTGCCATTTCTTATACACGTTGCTCACTGCATTTTCCTTGTGAAAGTACACCCCCTCGGTGTCTTGTACAGTGTATATTGCTTCTGCCTATTTGACCTTGTTAGCCCAGAGGCTGTGGCACACTTCAGCATGCTTCATTTAAGCTTGTACTATCATCCACCAAGGACTTTTTAAAGGTGAAATTATTCATTCACAGTCATTGTTCTAAGAATCCAGCTAAGACATGTGACTAAGACTTTCCTTTCCTAAGTTTTGTGACTTTAACTACATCCTGTTTCTAACCGTATATAAGTCCTGCATCATTGTACAGCTCCTCAGTATCCCGTATTCAGTATCCAGATATAGTATCCAGTATCCCGTATCCAGTATGCAGTATTAATCTGCTTTTCAATTCTCCAATTCAGTCAACAGTTAGCTTACAATTCTATTGCAACCTTCTTGGTCGTTCTTGCAAATAAAGTTGGTAACAACACAGAATCAATATTGACTCTCATGACGACCCTATAAAAGAAGATGGAAAAATGCCACAGGTATGCATTTGACGAAGTGGTGAGGTTTCATGCCGAGACAGTTGTGGACAATGACAGAAAGGACAACGAATATTCCCATGTTTTTGTGTGTATGTGTGCCTTTTTATTTTCCTCTGGACCACCTAGTACATTCTTTCAGTTTTCTTGTCGCGTATGTTTGGAGAATTCGTGTCAGTAAGTCTGTTTTTGTTAAGAGAGACATTTTGGGGAGGTAAAGACGTATTACACCAGACTTTCATAATCATTGGAATATCAGAACAATCACTAAAATTATCGAAATTAAGTCTCCGATGACGGTGGTTTTAGTTATGGCAACCATGTTGAACATGTGGAAGTGTTACGGACACGCATGCCCGGTACCCACAATCCTTTGCAAATGCAGCTCTGAACTTGCGGTGGCCATCATTGACCCTTTTGATCTCTGTACGTGCTTACTCCTTGTGCATATAGCTCCATGATCCAATTTGTAGCAAAAAATAATGGAATAAATGTCGGAATTAATCTGCATGCCCCAAGGCCAGTTGGACCTACTACTTGTATATTTTGAATACTACTTGAACCTAATGAATAACATAGAGCAGTTGGAGGTAAACTTGTCTCAAGTCGGAATCTCTGTGACCTCTTCGTTTATGCTTTGGATACATATCAAGACCACGCGCCGTTACCTGCTTTGCGCCCTCTTGTTTCCACATATTGCCAGGGCCGAGGGGCCTGACTCGTCACCCTGCAGTCGGCTCGGCTTTCCGGTGTTTGTTCGTCGTTACCTGCAGGGGTTTTCCGGTGGGCCGCTTCGAGTATCGAGCAACGTGTCTCCCCCGCTCACGCTGCCCAACTGTTGGAGCGCGTTCGAGTCGTCCCTTACGCCGACGAATAGGGACTGATCACAGCGCATAACAGTGGTAGTCTACTGCGTGAGAGAACGCTGTTCGGTCACAGTATCTTGCACGTGGTTGCTGCCAGGTCTTCACCGCTTTAGCCGTGAAGTTTCAATTCTTCACCGTCGAGTTTGACCGGGCGTGGCCTGCTCGACGTGGTAGATTGTTCTCACGTAGTGTTCTTTATCCTTCACGGTTGGTTGGCTTTGGACAATGGCTTTTCGCCCAACAACTGTGACTAACAGGACGGCTGCCATTGCCCGTTCCCGTCGAGATCCAAATCTAGTTTTAGTGTCTGGGCCCGGGCCCGCTTTGGCCTCCCCGGCCCGCTTTGCACCCTTGGGACACCGAGCCTTCCGGCTTACTACCCTCGGGCTTTTGGCCTCCCCCTATCGCTGATCCCTTTTCACAGGGTG